GTGAACAAGACTTTTTCTTGGGACAAAAAATGTGTTTAAAACAGAAACTTTTTTGAATGGACAAAATGTAGTACTATCACACTTGGAGTTACTTTTCAGGCTATTGTTGTCTTCGTCATTACCACACATGCTTATGCTTTTGAGAAGAGCGAATTAGAGGAGATGTCAATGGTGGCACTTTCTGGATGTATATGGTTGCAGGCATTCGTCGTTGCAATAGAGACCAAGTAAGTTGCTTTACCTTCATTTTTTGAAAATGAAACAAGAATGATTAATAATCCTTTACCTGAATCGTCTGGAAGTGTACATCTTGAATTCGTAACAGTTTAGTGTTTATCATTAAATGCTTCATATTGAGTATGGTTTATGTTGCTTTGTAATAAATATAGCTTCCATCCAGGACGAAAAAACCACTTGACTTTGCCTTCTAATTTAGTTAGTTGGAGAAATATAAGAAACTGACTGATTTTATTTATGATATGTACAGCTCCTTCACTTTATTGCAACATATTGCCATATGGGGAAATCTTGTTGGATTTTATTTTATCAACTATGTTCTTAGTTCTTTGCCATCATCCGGGATGTACACAATCATGTCACGGCTGTGTAGTCAACCATCTTACTGGATTGTTGTCTTTGTAAGTGCCCATTTTCCTTCTCTCTTTGTCATGCTTATCAAGGTCAGTCTGAACATTTGATTGATAAAAAAATGTAATAATAATCATGCAGTCATGCTAGGTACACACACACATATATTTGTGTGCAAATATATTTCATTTCTTATTATTAAAAATTAAATAATTTCATATTTTGAAAATTTAAAATGATAAGTATTTAACAACATTTTTCAAAAATTAAATCTATAATACATTGTTAAATAAAATATAGTCAAAATTGGGCACATGAATAGTGTAAAATTCAACAAAATTGGGCTATGATCTTTTTGTGCCTTTTATTCTGCACATTTCAATTTCATGTAAAAAGTGTTAGTATACATGTATAATTTTAGTTTAATTAGTTATTGTCTTTTTTAATTTTAGTTTTAGAAAAAATGAACACTTAAAGTTTAAACGATAGATCCACCACTGGTCGATAAAATTTACCCTTCAGTCAGAGCAAGGTGGATGAAGTGAAAGAATGCATCTGATTTTTTATGTGATTGAGGTATGCTGATCACATATATATTTCATTGGCCTTTGCTCCTATGTGCTCATGGGCACAAGATCTTGAGCAATTAGTGTTGTTAGGTTTCAAGTTTGAGGAATAATAGATCTATTCTAGGAAAGAAGTGTAATACAACGTATAAAACACATTTATTATCATCATGAGGAGTACAACAACATCCAAGTTTTAATCCCAAAAGATTTTGAGTTCGGCTAACATTATCATATGAAGAGTAATTTATCATGGTATGAAGAACTCATTAATTGATCATTTGTTTCTCATGTGCCCATAGGCAAACATAAGTAAACCCCTATTTGAATTATGTAAACAGAGGGATGATTTACATAGAAAACCAGATTTTGTTACAGAACTCTATTCCCTCTCAAAATATAATCCAAGGACATTTCTCAGTACCTTACACGTAAGTTTATATTTTTATACCGGGTATTTGACGGTTTGGTCTATGTGGGAATGTGGGGTGACTTAACAACGTGTTTGAATCCTACCATAACACTTTCAGGGGGTGTTTGAAACTGATTCTGATTCTGCTTCTTTTTTAAAGAAGCAGAATCAAAATCAGTTTTTAGAAGCTGGTCACCCCCAGATTCTAAAAAACTGATTCTAAGAGTAAATTAGAGCACCAGAATCACTTCTGCACTTTCAACCAAATACTCCAGCTTCTGATTCTGCTCTTTCAGGAAGCAGAATCAGTTTTAAGAATCAGATCCAAACACCCCCTCAATCATGCAATATTTTTAAGGATTTATGTATGGTTAGTAATTCATTGTCGGTCTCCTGAAATTTCAGCTTATAGTTGCGGCTGGAATGGGACCAGTTCTAGCTCTGAAGTATTTTAGATACACATACAAGTCAAGCAAAATCAACATACTGCAGCAAGCTGAACGTCTCGGAGGTCCAATCCTGTCATTGGGACACATAGAGCCGCCTGCGACTAGATCCTCCTTAGAGAAAGACGTGTCTCCTTTATCAATCTCTCAATCCAAAAACAGGAGCCCGGTACACGAGCCTCTTCTCTCAGACTCTCCAAGTGCAACTAGACGTTCTTTTGGACAAGCTGCTGCACCATTTGATTTCTTTCCGTCACACTCCCGTTTATCTTCAAACTATGCCAGAAATTCCAAGGATAAGTGAGTGATGATAGCACACTACTTTATGGGTCACCTATCTTTTTTCTTTGTGGTGAAATTCATTTCATCATCAATATTATAGCATAGGGATGGAGATTTTGAGCCTTTTTTTTGTAAATCAGGAAATGCATCTTTCTATTCCACTTGCAGGTTAATGAGTTAATCTAATTATACTTCTCGATTATTTATTGATTATGAAAACTATGAACACATTTGTTTACTCTCAAACTGTCAGACAGTCAGACGAGTAAAAAAATCAAATAGATCAATTCCAAATGAGAACACTCCAGATGTAATTAATGCAATAATAATGCCTTAATGGTATACAACTGACTATACTATGAATATAATTTTGTGGTTAGACCAATGATTTTTGGTGAGACTTGATGATACGCATTTACGCAAATTAGCAAATAGGTGAGAAGTTTTGCTAAAAGAACAAGACTAACCCGGTGGCCGATTGGGTTGATGTGAAAACGGGCAACCCAGTCCTAAAAGTGGGCTGGTCAATGATAATTTGAAAATGTGAGAAAACTAAAAATCCTGGATTTGTAAAAACACCTGGATGATTTGGTAAAACCAGTTTCTAATGGCTTGTATTGATTTCTTTTTTTGTTAAGCATTTTTAATTTAAGATGATCTAAGCTTCATGGAAAATGTGAAATCTACATTTTATTCTAGGAAGAAAACTTTTAAGAGCCGTTTGGTAACACGAAAATCGGCTGATTTGGCTGATTCTACTGAAATTTATAAAGTTCTGGTTGAAGTGGCTGCATAGGCTGATTCTGTTGATTTAAGAAAAAAATATTTTTAAAATATTTTTTTTAATAAAATAAAGAAAAAATTAAACTAGTATGTAAAATAGCTAAAATGGTCATTTACAGTAACTTCAACCAATACAGCCAGAAAAGTAACTCCAACCTTACTTTTTCTGCTTATTACACATGTCAGCGTGCGAAATCAAAAGTTACGTGTTTGGTGAAAAAATTGGCTGATAAGCCTGATAAGTTGAAATACAGTGTTACCAGGAAAATGATGTTTGTACCCACTTTTATACCCATTTTTGTACCCACCCATGTTTGTGAAGTTATTTTTTTTTGTCTGTGAATTCCTTCACAGACAAAATATGTCTGTGAAGGAATTCAAAGACATATTTTGTCTGTGAATCGGCTTCACAGACAAAAAAACAACCTTCACAGAGGTGCGTATAAAGTGGGTACAAAGTGGTGGGTACAACATGCATGGTTGGTGTTACCAAATGGCCTCTAAAGGTGTGCAAATAAAAGATCCAACTCATGAGGATTGACTTCAAAAGGACAAATAGTGTTTTGGAATATAGCACGTGTTTTTAATGTTCTCATTATGAAGAATATTTATTTCATTTATAGTTATAGGTATATTATTAGGAGTATAATTTGTTACTCCCTCCGTCCCGCTATGATTGTCCCATTTTACCATATCGGTCTGTCCTACTAAGATTGTCTCATACCTTATTTGGTAAAGTTTGTGTGGTTCTAAATCATTCCTACTTTATTCTTACTTTATCAATTCAATATCAACCACATAAACCACTTTTATTAATATCCGTACTACCTTTTCTTGTCCCAAACTTAGGGGGACGGAGGTAGTATTAATGTTGATTAGGTTGATCCATGATCAATTGGTGGAGTTGGCCCCGCCAGGTCTAGGTTGTTTGTTACTAGTCCTGGACTCAGGCCGGGTGGCCCGACCCGAGACCGGTACTGTGCTGAACCGGCCCGGTGGCCCGGCCAGTGACCGGTCCGGGTAGGCCCGGCCCGGCCGGTTCGGGCCCGGCTCCGGGCTTTTTTTTTTCCAATTTTTTTAACTTTTCGGGTTGGGCTGGGTATTTTGGGCCATTTGGGGTAGTTTGAGGGGTTGGGGGTGACCGGGGGGGGGGGGAATTAGGAAAAGGGGGAAAAAATGACACGAGGCCCGGCCCGGACCCGGTGGCTATCCGAGCCGGTCCCGGGCCCACCTATTCAGAACCGGCGGCCCGGTCGGGCCTAGGCCCGGTCGGGCCTAGGCCCGGCCCGAGTCCACCCCTATTTGTTACCGGGGTTTGTGGTCAACTCTTGAGTTGACCGCCTTTTTCACGCCTTTCTACATTGCGAGGTGTTTCTCCACCACCTCACGCCTAGGCCCCACCTTTTGCCGCCTTTTAGAGCACTGTCTGTACATGAGTATATCATACTTATATACTAAATCGATGTTACTTTTTATATGTATTATTGTTGTTGTTATTATTGTTATGATAATTTATGAAGAAAGAGTGAACACTAGCGAGTCAGGACTTATTATGATAAAAAATGAGTAAAAATATACTTGGCATGTCAGGACCGGCCTCGGTCCATCTTTGATTCAAAATATGGAATAAGAAAATGTCCCTTTGTTTGGCATTTGAAAAGGTTGTTTAAAGATGAGCTCTAGAAATCTAGCGAGTATATTAAGATGGTAAGAAAATTGTAACAATAATACTTTATGTGAACAATCATATCTACAAATTATGAGCCCGTTCAGTAACACTAAAATTGGTTGAATTGACTGATTCTGCTAAAATTTATGAAATTATGACTGAAGTGACTGTATTGGCTGATTATGCTGATTCATGAAAAAAAAATTAAAATATTTGTTATTAATAAATTAAATAAAAGACTATGAAAAAATAGCTAAAATGGTCATCTATAGTAACTTCAACCAATACAGCCAGAAAAACAACTCAAACCTTACTTTTTTTGCTTATTACAATATTCAGCGCGCGAAATCAAATGTTACGTGTTTGGTAAAAAATCGGGCTAATAAGTCTGGTAAACCGAAAAACGGGTCACCAAACGGACTATATATGTTGTTAGTATGTGTACATAATAAATCCTACATGACTGATCAATAGAACAACTTCAATGTGGCGTTGTATAACTCCAAACAAATTAAACGTGGCAAGTGACACCATATTATGTACGGAGTACTCGTATTGTTTCACAAATGAAACCCTGTCCATCTTTGAAAGTTATGAAAATCCCGGCCATTAGACACTGCCATCCCAATTCCAGTCCTTCCTCCTCTCCCAACTCCTCTATAGTACAACCTCCATTGCCCAACTTCATCTTCCCCATCCATCTGAACAAGGCATGGTGAACCCACCCCTTCACAGTCCCAACCATCACCCCCTTCACATCCTCTCAACACAGGATTGCACCCAACCACCCTCCTCCACCCCTTCAAACCGTCCGGTGAAATCGCCACCCCGATGCTTCTCCTCCCATCCACACCAACACCTTCATACGCCATAATGTATCTCCCATCCTTCCTGTTCCTCACCACATTCGGGTTCATCACTCCTAACTCGTCAAACGCCCCCACACCGCCTTCCCCTATCATCCTCCCTTGTTTCACCCATTTTATCCCATCTCTTGACCGTGCCATCCCAATCGCAAAACACCCATTTTCGGCATCAAACGAATGGTAATACATCCTAAGGTCACCATTCCCATGGTAAATAACATGAGGTGAGGCTATGAATAGAGAATCCCAATCCCCTTCTTGACCTGCATCAAACAGAGCCCCCGAGTGATGCTCCCCTTCTATTCTTGCCCAATGCCTTCCATCTTGGCTAATAGCTAATCCTGGTAATGACTTCATTACTCCTTGTTTGGCTCCACTAGTTAAGGACTTGTTCCCATTTCCTGAAAAATGTTATCTGATTTGAATAAGAACAGGTAAAAATGCTGAGACTAATAACAAAGGAAAGAGAACAGCACCTAAATATGCCCTTTCTGGGTTTTCCAAACAGAAACCCAGGGAATTGCCAGCAGAGAAATCTACTGCCTGGGAACTGAAACCTGTGTAGTAAAGCCAATAAACAGCAGTGTTTGATCGGTTGACTTTGTTGCTGGACATGATGACCACCTCACTGGGCATAAGACTCTCTGTGTCAAAACCCCACCAGTCTTCACTGCAACTCATCACCATCCCCACATCCCCGCCTGATCTCACCCCGCCCTCGCCTCTCTCCCAGTGGGCCCCGTTGCTCGAAACCGCTAACCCGATTGAGTCCGAACCCGGGTTCTTGCCGGACCTGCCGTGGTACCACAGGTACCACCTCTCTTCCTCGTCGCCCAAATACCTCTTCACCACCGGCGACCCGATTTCGACGCCGTCCCAAGAGCTCGCAGATCCCAAATCAAACACCAATCCCCTCGAGATCAAAGGACCTGGAGAAAAACCAATTTGATTCCCGGTTACGGGTTTGGGTTCCCCTTCGGGTCTTGATCTAGAATCGGGCTGTACGGATAGTAAACCCTCGTCCGTCGCGTGTGGCTTTGCGGAGCAGCGCGGGAGAAATGGGAAATTCTGTTTTGATTCTGTGGTTGAAATTGAGAAGTGCCCGACCTTGTTCTTTCCAAAATCAATGGGTTTTTGCTTTTGCAGGAAGGGAGTGTTTGGAATGCTGGTGGTGGTGGACAAGGAGGCAAGTGTTGAAACCTTCATGGCTATGGCTGGGGATTGGGGAAACTTCTAGAAAGAATTCAGAGTTCAAAACCAATGAGCTTTAATTTGTGCCACTTGTGAAAGAGAAGTGGTGGCTTGGTGGTTGGGTGGGATTTGGTTCTGCTTCTGATTGGTGAAGGGAAATATATATTCTGTGGTGTATATAAAGAGGAGGCAAGCTGGAAGTGGCAGAAGGTTGAGAAATGGCTACACTTTGAGAAAGATAAACCAAGTAAATAAAGGGAAAAGCATTGATCTTTGGCATGAAAAGAGAGAGAACCAAATAGGGTTCTGTTTGCCTGTGTTTATTCAATCCCTCAAGCAAGGTAGCACTGGTCAAACTATACTTCTGACTTTACCAAGCAAGGTATCAAAATCTGAAAGAAAACCCCCCTTTTCTCAAGAAATATTTACCAGGTAAAAAACATCTTATGAACAGCATTTTGGAGGTAAAAGAATTCCTAGAGACAGCATAAACTTATGTCAACCACAAGTTCTTCCATGAATGGTTGGTTTTCAAAGCATGCCATAACTTCTTTTTTTCAGAACTGTCTGTGCAGCAATTTATGCAATCTGTGAATAGCTAGTCTACTGCATTATGTCATTCAGTCGTGATTCTGTAAGAAGACAATTAGTGAAGGCACCAGCTTTCAGCCTGGAAACGCTGTGGGCTATGGTGGTCATCAGTTTAGTGTGTTTGGGTTCAACTAATTGATGGAGGGAATTTAATGCATGGGGGCGGAAGGAGCATTTTTTGAGCTTTTATCCTAACTTTAAAATAAGAGCATCTTCAATGCTATAATGTGCATGGTACACATGTGGCATCAGAGATAGTCACATAAATATTAACAAATAAATTGTCTCTCTTCTTATTTGAATGGTTTTTATATAATTTGGTAAGTGTTTTTCCACAATGTCAAGATAACAGTTTGGATGTTGACATTGTGGAGAGAAACTTATCAAAATTATTCGAAATCGTTCAAATAGGGAGAAAAGTAATTTATTTGCTACTTTGTAATATTTATGTGGTTATCTCTCATGCTACATGTGCACCGTGCACATTGTAGCATTGAAGATGCTCTAATTTGAGTTTCAGTTGAAAATATACACAAATATTAAAGTCTTTAACAATTCATAACAATGTAGTCCTCAACGCTATCAGCCAAAACATAAATTAATACTAGTACTCCGTAATTTAAAGCAGAATATATTACGGGAAAACGTAGGAACTCAACTTTTCTCTAATATTATGCCGTCTTTGACATTTAGCGGTTAACAGATGATGAATTATGTTATAATGTTGTTAATAACTGTTCCAGCCAGATGATTTATTTATAGTAGCAAATTACAAAAATATGTTTGATAATTTAAATGTTTGGTCATAGCAATTAGTAGAAAATGCCCTATTTCAAAAGACTGCTATTTACAACATTCTCATTTCAGCAATTTCGTCTAAAAATGCTAGGGCCGAACCAAAGGACTAAATTGTAGTTTTTCTCTATTTTAAAATTTCATTTGTTTTTACTTTTTAATGCTAGGGCAAATTCTTCTATCACTCGTTTCCATTATGGGTGGACTCGGGCCGAGTGGCCCGACCCGGAACCAGCCCAGCCTGCCACTGTTCCGGCCCGGCGGCCTGGTCAGGGACCGGTCTGGGTAGGCCCGACCTGAGGGAGGTGGTTCCGGTCCGGGCTCGGGCCCCTCAAAACGTGAACCGGCCCGGTCCGGGCCATTTTATTATTATTATTATTATTATTATTATTATTATTATTATTATTATTATTATTATTATTATTATTATTATTATTATTATTATTATTATTATTATTATTATTATTATTAGATTTTTTTTTAAGTTTTTGGATTGGCCTGGGTATTTTGGGCCATTTGAAGTGGTTTGGGATGGTTTGGGTGTGAGGGGGGGTTGGGGTTAATTAGGAAAAAGCAAAAAAAAAAATATACCTGAGGCCCGGCCCGACCCGGCGGTTACACGGGCCGGTTCCGGGCCCTCCCATCCAGGACCGGAGGCCCGGCCCGAACCGAGTCCATCCATAGTTTCCATACCTAAGGAAGTACGGAGTAGCCGTTCTCACTCGCCACTGGGCGTTCTATTCTAAAATGACGGTGATTGTAGAACGATAGTAAATGGAAAGTTCCCGAAATGGGACTAAAAAAGTTTGAAAATTCTAAAATAGGACTGTCATGTTTTTATTCCCATAATAGGACTAATTACTGTCAAAGTTGGAAAATACTGCCATGTTTGAAGTCTGGTACTGCCAAAACATGACAGTAATTAGTCCTATTTTGGGAATAAAAACATGGAAGTCCTATTTTGGAATTTCCAAACTTTTTTAGTCCCATTTTGGGTAATATCTCTTTGTTAAATCATTTGTATCCTCATCTTTTAAAATTTATATCTAATTAAAATTTGTAAAACTGCCAAATTCTCTTCTACGTAAGAAGCATTTTTACGACTACCTTCGTCCAGCCCTAAGGTTCTCGTTTCATTCTGAAGAATTATTTAGACAATAATAAATATGTAATTTGAGTATATTTTGATAAATATTTCTGATGGGTATATAATATAATGAGGTCATTGATGATAATGGTGATGTTATAAATGTATTATTTTTAATTAAATTAAATTATCATTTAAGAGTGATAATTATTTCCTCAAAAACAAAGCGAACCTTTGGTTGAGACATCTAAAAAAAGAAAGCGAGAGCCTTATGCTGGGACAAAAGAAGTTATTGCTATAATAGACTTCCCTTGTACGTGTTCTAATTGAGAGGTGTATAGAGCCACAAATTATACCGTGGGATCGGCCCACCTTGCGCATGGTGTGCCGATCCCAAACGGTGCCGTTTTAATGTTTTATTATTAATAAAAATTAATCTGCTCTCCTGAATTGTAAGGTCATCGTACCCTAGCAGATTCAATTTGGAGTCCTCGGAAGAAGCATCGGAAGCTCTAGATCTCAATTACGGTTGTGCCGTCGCCTACAGAACGTCAAATTGGACTTCATCTCAGCCGCTCTTATCTTCTCCTCCACATAGAAAACCAAGGTAAATCTGCCAGAACAATACCCTTCAAGCAATAATCACCACAAGCCATCGTTAGGCATATGAGTGACATCCATCGTGATGTAGCTGCTGATTACTCCACCTGTGGCTGCCTGACACGGGGATGAAGATGAACTTCCGACTCTTAAGTTCTCTCCTAAGTTACATTTTATTTATCTAAAAAAGTTACATTTCTATTAAAAGGATTTACATTTCATTTATCTCAAGTTACATATATTTTAGCCCGAGTTACATTCCAATTTTCCTCTATAAGTTACATCATAGTTACACGTGATTTACATTTGTCATAAGGCAAGTTACACCACAAAACAATGTGAGTTACACCACAAATTAAACCTCTATTAAAAAAATATTTTTTAATAGCTCTATTATTCAAAAAAAAAATATTTTTTAACTAAATCAATTTTTATAGCCCCAATATTAAAAGTTAAAAACATATTCACTATTTATAAAAAGTAATTGGGCAATTAGGATCACTTTTTCACTGTTTACATGGAAATCAATGTTTTCCCCTTACATTCCGTTTTAGACAACTTACATATCAACATGAGTCAAGTTACACTTTTTATCAACGTGAGTTACATTTTTGTAAACGGGAGTTACATCACCCTGCTACTGAAACACAAAAAAAAATTATTGTTCATCCGCGGGTACTGTTCATCCGTGTTTTACTTCTGGGATCACAATGCTCATTGTGCGCCGGTACCACGGTATACGGACTCATTGGATGTTTTAATCCGATTGTAATTTTTTTCCTGGTCTGATCTATTTAAATTTAATTTGGTTTGAATTGGTCAGGTCTAATAAATATCTGATCAATGGACATTGAGAAAATTTTACATAAATAATGTAGAGAACTTTTTTGAATTCTAATCGAACACGACAAAACCTTCCATAATTCATAATTCATAATTTTCTGATATGATTTGGCATGATTTGTTTATGTATGATTTGGTCTGAAGTTGTCTAGTAGATATTTAAAGTATGGACATCAAGAAAATTTTATATAAATAATGTATAGAACTTTTATTTAATTTTAATTGAATACAACACCACTTTTCATAATTTATAATTGTATATTTGAAATTTTAAATTTAATGTAAAGTAAATGTATGAGAAAGTTCCCGAAATAGGACTAAAACAATTTGAAAATTCCAAAATAGGACTGTCATGTTTTTTATTCCCAAAATAGGAGTAATTACTGCCAAGTTTGAAAAATACTGCCATGTTTAAAGTCTGGTACTGCCAAAAACATGACAGTAATTAGTCCTATTTTGGGAATAAAAACATGACAATCCTATTTTGGAATTTTCAAACTTTTTTAGTCCTATTTCGGGTAATATCTCGTAAATGTATAGAATGTGTCATGATTTTTTTGAATTACACGAGTTGTACTTCTAAATTAGTGTAACATAAATGCAAAGTAGAATTCTAATCTAACTTAATGTATATGAGGATACGAATTTGAAAAAGGAATCTAAAATATTATAATGAATGTTTGCTTAGTAGATAACACATGACAAAACTTTCAATAATTCTATCTTTCAAATGTATTATCTATAGATAGATTCATCCCGAATTAGATTGCAAATTGCAGCCATAAAGGGTGATTAAAGATTATGTTAAACAAAAAAAATGGCCACTATAGTCTTATTAATGATGGATAGGTTTCTATTGATCAAAATTATCGAGTTTTTAGAAAAGTGTCACATCACCCTTCACTCACTCGAAAAATTATATGGTACAGTCGATTGTATCAAGGGTATTGTACAACCGGCATTTTTGTAATTAGTTTCTGTTAGAAAAACGGTTTATAAATTTATATTTTGGTCACTTTGGAGCTAAAATATATAAAAACCTACTTCCCATAATTAATGGGACTAAGTTCTAACATATTGTACTCCGTGAGATGAACGTTTTGATATATTATTTGTAGCAAACCATTTTGAAATGAATAACAAATTGTTCCCCGAAGTTCTTTTCGAAACAAAGTGTGTATATGACGTATCCCACACCGGAAATCCTAAGCTTTATTGAAGGCTTTTTATAAGCCAAATATGATACGGAGTATTGGGTTGGGCTCCAAGGGGCACCGAAGTTTTGTGAGGAAAGACCCGCACACAAGTGAAATAACACTTCACGTCGTTGCCGCCCCATCCGACCGTGTCGGGTCCAGTTTCAGATACGGGTGGGTACCCACGTGGCTTTAAGATATAAACATTATTTTGGTATAAATTACACTACACTATAAATGGCTTAAGGCAACACTTAAAAAATGTTGCATTACACCCTAATGTGTTGCCTTTGGAACCTATGGCAACACTTTTACAATTTTTAAAGTGTTGAAATTTTGGCCGTTGCTACAGGTGCCTATAGCAACAAACTAAAATGTGTTGCAACAACTTTGGCTAGGGCAACATCATTCTCCAAAAAAAACTAAAGCAACACATTTAATGCAATACTTGGATATTGCAACACTTAGGAGCAACACTTAGGAGCAACATTTTGCAATAAATTTCAATATATTATTATTATTATTATTATTATTATTTAAAACCCAAAAATTTAATACAAATAATTATTTTCAGATAATAACAACTTTAAGAGAAGGGTCGTCACATTTTCTTAGCAGGCACCTTGGGATTGTGTCTCCTAACTAGAGTACTATAAATCCCATTAGGAGGCCTGCGTTTTTACACTTAACTTGAAATCCAAAATACACAATTCATTTGGTTCGCTGGAGTCATTCGGAAATGAAAAACCGCTCTATTCTAGGAGACAATTGCTAGCGGTCAAATTTATCTCAAAGAGACAACAAGCATTTGTTAGGTTTGATTCAACCGCTTCAATAATTATTTATTTAATCATATTTTGTAGATTTTTGAGATATGAAAATAACAGTTTCAATTTATGGCGTAATAGTTAGATGGCTTCTTTTTGTTATTCTTTCTTTACGTAGGCATGCCTCTTTGGCTCTTTGCCGGTCATTCCTTTAACTTGCTTTCCTCCTTTTTCTTTTGCTTTTTCTTTTTTGTTCTTTGAGATATATACCACTCAACAAATTCAAGATGCCAACTATTAACAACTTATTAGAGATAAAATACAACCAATAAGAAATGTTAGGTAATTTCCACTCTTCGTGGATGTCCTTAGCGTTGAGAAGCAGGTATTAGGGCATATGTGCTACTCGTTTGTATTATAAGCTGATACCCCAAAGGCCCATAAATAAAAGCAATTTGACAATATAGAGAGAGATATGGATAAAGGAATTCCATTTCTTCTTTTAAAAACTCTATAAAATTCCTACTTAGCGAAAAAAGTTTAAGATTTGCATTGGTGCAAATTCAATTACTTGAGCTTCAGTCGATAAACAATGATAGCAAAAACTTATCTATTAAGCGGAGAAAATCCTAAGAAAAGAAAAGGATTAATGAGAAAATATTGCTACCACGTTTTGAATAGACAAAATTAAGACTAACTTTTATTTTGAACAAAAAAGAGACTAATTATATATGAATGTGAATGAATACCTTTTATATAAATATCATAGAAAACCACTAATCTCCACAAATTTCGCAGATCCTCTTAGTCGGCCGCCTCTACTTCGCCTTAGATCTATTGCCTTCGCGCCGCCGCCACCTTCTCCTCTGCTCCTATTAGTCACTTTTTGTTGGAAATTTTGGATATAATCCTATTTTTTGTCCCTGAATTTTCTTTTAGTATTATATTTACAAAATCCCAAAAGAAAAATTAGCACCCCACTCCCGCAAGAATGGACTAAAAGGGCAAGCTACCTTCGCTAGCTTTCATAATTAGGTATACTTATTTTATAAGTAGATCTGTTAGTGTATTGGATGGTTCATGAGTGGAGCTTCAATATTGTAAACTACTCCGTATATTATAAGTTCACAATGTTTAAGCAGGAACTGTAGAAACGAGTAAATCTCACTGTTTTTTTTAATAAGTAAATCTCACTGGTTATTCATCAAGTTGTATTTTCTTTATTAACTTTTTTATTGATACATGGGGAATTGAGACTATCATAGGTAATTCTTATTTTTGTTGGTAGATTCTACGGTACCCCCAAATGTACCGTATCTTTGTCCACATGAACCAATAAAAATAATGCAGTTAAATTATTTAAACGCTAATGCTTCATGTACCCACCCTTATACCCACCATGTTTGTGAATATTTAAGCGTAACCCTTATACCCTTAAACGCAAAATATTGTCTGTGAACCGGGCGGGGTTCACAAACAATAAAAAAAGCTTCACAAACATAGGTGAGTACAAAGCTAAAAAGCTTCACAGCTTAGGGAGTGTTTGCATTTGATTAAAAAAAGTGCTTTTCAGCTTTTGGCTTAAAAAAAGTTAAAAAGAGTGTTTTCAAATGATAGCTTCTGCTTAAATTAATCACTTAAAAGCTAAAAGCTGGAAGCAGGTGGAAGGGTGCTTTAAACTGCTTTTCACTTTTTCTATTACACAAAAAGTACTTCTTTTACCAAACACTACCAACTTTTACTTTTTCACAATCACTTTTTCTTCAAACACTACCAACTTTTACTATTAATCACTTTTCCCAAAATCACTTTAAAAAATCACTTCTTTAAAGTTGAAGCAATTGCAAACACTCCCTAAGAGTGGGTACAAAGATCATTTTTGTTATTTAAATCTAAATTAAAAAGCATATAATGATTTGGACCAACAAATCCATAATAGATACGGTATCCCATTTTTTAAATGGGTACCAGAGTTGTCACCATTTTTGTTTGGTGGTCAGATTCCGACTAATAATTGAGAACATATTATCTATATATGCTCTAGATATAAGCTTTACAATATACTTAAATGATGATGAATAATGATAGCTAGTAAATAATGAAATACTCAATTAATTCGATTTTTTGTTTATTCCGTGACTAGAATTTAAAGGGTTCTATATTTTAAACGATCCTAAACTGCAAAATTTAATTTTGTTGTTGTATATGTGCAACATTGACATCATGTGAAAGCAATGTAAATAAAAAATTATAGCACTTTAAAAACAAATGTTTTTGAAAGTGTAAAAATATTTTTTTATTTTTATATATTCAATATTGACACATGAAAGATAATAACAAATTATTTCGTATGATTTTTGATGTATTTTTTGTAACAACCGAAGTATGAATAAAAAAGTTATACTCCCTTCGTTCTTCAATACTTGTCTCTAATTCCATTTTGAGTTGTTTTTAAATAGTTGTCTGTCTTTTCATTTTTTGAAAGTTTTTTCAATGAATGTATTTATATACTTCATTCTCTTTCCTACTTTTTCATTCACATTTCTACTTTTTCATTTAAACACAACTCACTACACCATTTACATTAAACATATTATTTTCTTCTTAAAACTCGTGCCAAAGTCTAAGGAGACAAGTATCAGAGAACGGAGGGAATATTAGTTTAAAAAACACAGATGTTTTATTAAAGTGAATAATTATTTTTCTTTATATACTTAATGTTGATGTCATTTGAAATGTAATAAAAAGTTATGAATTTTGATACATTTTTATACATCAATCAGAGTACAAATTAAAAAAATTATAGCATTTAAAAAAAGTACTCCCTCCGTCCCTAAATGTTGTTCCAATTGCGGTTTACGAGGTTGACCGACGATAAAGTTAAATGATCCCTGTGAAAACTCGGATTATTTTTAGTAAATAAAATTTACATATTCAGAAACTACATTAAACCCGCTACAAAGCCTGCAAAAAATAATCCAACTTTTATAAAATTTTGATATAAAAAGTAAGAGATTAAGAGTGATTTAAGTTGACCAAGGAATAGTGAAATGGAACTTCTTTTAGGGACAGAGGGAGTATGAGATTTTTCTTAGGTGGGACCCCTCACTAACATTCCTCTTTGTGGCTTGGCTTATTACTTTCGTGTTTCTTTTGCCTAAGCCGCCAAGATCTAGCTTCTCTGCCTTGCTTAGGTAGGCAAGGGGTGTCCTATTTTGAACCGATAAAAAAATTAGGTAGATTCTATGATACCCAAAAGGTATCATACCTTTGTCCACATGGACCAATCAAAATGATACAGTTGAATTATTTAAATCTAAATTTTAAAGAGTATAATGATTTGGACCAATCAAATACATTATAGGTACGGTACCCCCATTTTTTAAATGGGTATCGGAGTTGTCACCAAAAAATTAATGACATAAGATGAGTGATTTCATTTTTGACACAATTTCCGAGGCCTTAAGATTAATCTCCATATTCTCTATTTTAGTAAGGTAGTCTGCCATAAGACAGACAATCTCAATCCAAGTCCTCACTTCAAGAGGTTACACAATATTTTTGAAAATATTTTAATTTGACCTTAATTTGTTAAATACTTTTTTATTTAACATTATTTTGAAAAAACTCATAAAAATGTGTAGGCTGTTAAAAGTATATATAAACAATACATTTAAAATTTTAAAATGTTGAACTTTAAAAAATTTGCCTCATGGACAGTACAACCCTTAGATTTTATTCTTAAATGGCTAATATTAAATTCAACCATGCTCGGTCTACACGTTGGTTGTACACACCATTTTACATGCCGATCAAATTGTCTTTGCATAAACATTTTTTTCGTTTTATGAAAAGAATCACTTTCACACGGACAAGTTTTTTTGCTTGTGACACATGCAATGTTTTTTTGCAAAAAATAATTCTTTTCACAAAACGAAAAAGAATTATGTGTGTACAATTATTTTGATTGAGGTGTACAAATATCTTTTTGTATTAAATTAGGAAGAGGGTCAGATAGGCCCTCGAACTTACATAAAAAGGTCAAATAAGCCCTTATATAGAAGGCTCTGTCCGGCTGTCGCCATTTGGGGCGATTCCCGGTGGAATTATTTGATAATTTTTTTTGAGAATCTTATTCATTAAGTCTAGTTTACTCATACCAAATTTCAGCTAAGACTTCAATCAGGAAGGCATTGAAATGAATTCTTGAAGATAACTGTGAAGTTAAACGAACAGTTATCTTCAAGAATTCATTTGAATGCCTTACCGATTGAATTGTTAGCTCAAATTTGGTATGAGTAAACTAGACTTAATGCATAACAGACTCAAAAAATTTCATCAAATATTTCCATCGGGAAATGCCCCAAATGGCGACGGCCAGACAGAGCCTTTTTCCCTATTAATTTCGAGGGGCTATTTGACCTTTTTCCCTATTAATTTTACCTACGTATTAGTAAAACTAAACAGAATTCTTACAATATGACCATGCTAGTTTCTTTACTTCCGTATGACTAATAAGGTTTGAAGAAAAAGATTCACGTAATATTATGGATAGTCAATGACCCAAATAACCCCAATTTAAAGTGCGTGCATTGCAGGAATATCGGTTGGAAAGAAAATTGAGTGACGCTGATTTTTAAGGAGGATAATTAATTCAATTTTTAATAATTAAAATCTATACATTCATAAACTACATTAAAATATCTTAAAAGTTCTAAACTCCAAATTAGAATATAATTAAAAATTGACATCCTAATTAAGTGAACAAAATAAAACTGTTTGACCAAGAAAAGTCAAATTTGCAAATCAAATTGGGACGAAGGTATTAAGTCATTGTGAGGATATTTGACGTTTTGTGTGCACTAGAGTGTTATATATATATTGTCACATTTGTTGATCAGAATACCACATTGTATGAATGTTAATAATGCACTAGTGAATTTTGCAATGCAGAGAACGCATGAATTGAATGCATGACTTATATTGCACTTCTTTTAGGAGATTTGTTTATTAGTAATGTCAATATGTGATACCTTTGTCATATTACCTCATCAAGTTTCATATAAAATTCACTGCATTGACGTAACAATAACTTAAAAGCTGTATTTACAATTCCTACCAACATTATAACAATGCACTTTATACTGTTGTTATTGCACGTTATTACTGCACTTCCCATCAACATTAATTCTCATCACATTCACGTTAAAAATTTATCTATAGTTCTTCTTTTATTTTTTTTGTATTTAATAATTGTGCATTTCATGTTGGCATTATTGCTTTACGTTACTGTACTAGTGGTCATAATTACTGCAGTTTTCGCCAAAGTTGTACACTATACATTGCCTTCGATTTGGTGTACAACACTTATTCCGATCCTCAATTCATTCACTCATTCACTGCTGATGTACAACACTATCTATTGTCATATTCACTACCTATGTTCAACATTATCTATTACCTTGTTCACTACCTTTGTTCAATGCCCATGAACCCTAATTTTATGAAATAGAAAAAGAAGAAGAAGGACAATGGATGTTGGGCGGCTGGGCGATGGAGGATGGAAGAGGGCGGCTAAGCAGCGGAGAAGCATGCGGCTGGGCGGCTGCCAGCAAGTGTGCGGCTAGACAGCGACGGCTAGGAGGGCGGCCTTGCGGTTGAACGGCAACGGCGAGCAAGCGCACAACTAAACGATGGAGACGGTGACACAATTGGACGATGTGGCGGCAAGCATCTATAATATCTTGGAAAAAACACGGAAAATCTGGTTGTAAAAAAATGACGATGACAAGAAGATGTTGATGAGAATAAGAGATAAACTACGAAAAGCATGTTAGATAACCGTTGCCCGTATAGATCGTGATTATTAATTGTAAGGTTGAAGAATGGCGAGAAAGAGAAACGATATATAAAACCAAACCAAAATGAAGAAGAAT